TTGCTCGAGTTCACTCATCGCTTTCCCACATACACAGTGCATTTTAAAATAACATAATATATTGCGTGAGTGGGTGGTGGTGAGACTGTGTCACAACGCGTTCTATTTATTTCCAACGCGCCTGGCCGGCGCATTCGATTGCGTTTATTTTGTATTTTTATTTTCGAAATGTAGCACTCGATGCGTTTATTTTTTCATGTCTCGCAACTGAACGTCCAAGCTGACTTTGTTAATTATAACTACATGACGCGGCATGCTACATCGTGTCATGTATAAATCTAGTGACAAATCGCAAGGTTGTCAAGGTACCACAGCCATCGAGTCGTAGTTGGAAATGTACGCACTTGTTTTGGAACTTTGTACCAAGACGACGCCGACGCACCTGGCGGCGTACGTGTGTTTTGCATGGTATTAGTGCGGGCATGGGATCGGATTCGGCTAAAACTGTAAACGAAACACGGAAAAATACCACCGAAATGACGAATCTGAACATGTTCTCTTGCCAACTAATAAAAATAACGAAAATAAGATAATCTTATAACAAGAACAGTTTCATTTCGTATATAGTAGTAAGTTGTGTTGTGTCCGAACAAAGATTGCATCGCGTGAATTTCAAATTAATTACATATCGATCTTCTGTACATTTTTTTTCTCTACTGCCTTTCTATATGCAAATAATGAGGTACGTCATACTGATGCCACAATACTTTGAAGCTGATGCCATGTTGATGCCATGTTGAGAGACCGCGAAGCTGAGGCCACGATGATGCCACACGAAAGCGAGGCTAACACCGCTTCAATTTTCAATGACACGAAGCTGATGCCACAATGATGCGATGCTGAGGCGACAGTGAAGCCATGCGTATGCGACAATGATGCCACAAAAGCCAAAGCTTCCGCGAGAACTGTACTGTATGCATAAGGCTCAAGTGTGGTGTAGGACATTGAGCATTTAGTTTATACATTTTCTTCCAACTATTAATTTACAAATATTTTGTTTTTGTACAGACTCTTTGGAGATGGAACCATCAACCTCAACCAATATATTCAGTAAATTTGTCTCCCGAATGCTGGGAGAGCAAACAGAAAGAGCCACAGAACCAGGTAAAGTGATATGCAATTGCATAAATGAATCATTATTTGAATGAATTTCTCTGCTGTATACCAGGAATTTTAGACATTCACTCAGAAAAAGGCTCAGAACATAAAAAATTAATCAACTCATTGAATAAATCTAGCGTCATTCAATGGAGATCCTCTATAAATCACATGTTCACAAACTGATGTTGAATGGTTGCCACGACAACCTTTGGATTGATGTTGCTGTATCTTTGGTGACAGTGTTTCTTTTACCCTATTAGTAGTGAGTGGACGGAGGAGAAGAGCTGAAAATACGTCTGAGAATGAATCAGGCCAAGATGCAAATCGAAATAGTGATAGGGAAGGTGATAGAGAAAGGACAAGCCATCTAAGGAGACGACTTGCCGAGCGTAGACGTCGCCGCCAAGTACCTACTTCCAGTCCAGCAACTGTCAATCCAGAAGATAAAGAACATAGTAAGAAAGTACATAGTGATTTGTCCTCATCAATATCAGCCTCATTGTCATTAGGCGGCTCCACAGATCATGGAACACATGTTGCTTTGACTCATGATGATACCACTTCTGGTGCTGTTCACTATTTTCAAGATGAACATGGTATGTTTGTGTTAATTTATTCTGGTTGACATCATCCTCTCTATCCGCTTCACTTCGCATTTCAATCAGGAAAGAGTATAGAGCGATATAGGCCGCAAGTTCAAAATGTTGTTTTCACTGAAATTGATGTTACAGGTTATGGTACAAGTTTAATTATGTTCCATGTTCATAAGGAAAATTAAGACTTGACCACGTCTTCTCTGCAAACAGATTTTGGTTGGAAAAAACTTTCTTGTGTCATGGTTTAGTTATAGTTTTTCATATATGTATTTCAGTTCACCACCATGCTTTAGTATAATCAATAATTCTACTAATACAAGGTTATTATGAGAATAAGAATGACAATTGTATCGTCAATGCAATCCGGAACTGCCTGACTGCATACTTTAGAGTTTTCATGATAACCTTATTATTATGCAACTTTTCTTGCTTTTAAGTCTGAATTTAGTGTACATACAGTGTAAAATGCCTGATTCATCCAGATACAGTACAGTTATAATGAAAGCTTTGATGTTTGTGGCATCATTGTCGCCTCAGCATCGCATCATTGTGGCATTAGCTTTGCGTCATTGAAAATTGAAGTGTTCGCCTTGCTTATTACAAATCGTAAACACATTGCGAAGACTCAACACAATCAGGAAAGGAAACCCAGACAACAATTTCGTACTTCTATTGAAATATATTTTGTACCAGTGCGTCACGTCAGAATATTGTTTAAATTAAATATTCAATCCCAGCCAAATATAGGGTCAAATCAAAAGGTCAGATTGCATGCATATTATTATAGATAGTTAAAACAAAAAGTATTTGAACTTTTGATGGGTGTTCAACATCTATGAAAACCAGAAAGACAATGATAAGTCAATGTGATCGAACCTCAACATTTTTTAGTAGTCCGAATTTTTAATGCATGCTAGCGGGTTTCCGGGTTTGCACGGTCAAAAATAACAAGTGGTCGGAAAAGCGAGCAAAAATAAAACGATTGAAAAGCAGAGACGGGCGGGAGGTTGAGTACTGTACTTTTTTATTCGATAAAGCGATGCTGATGCCACATTGTCGCCATAATGAGGCCACAATAAAGTGCCTCAACTGTTTAATGTCGCGACATTGATGCGACGATGAAGCCATAACAATGCCATAATGATGAAGCTGAAGCCAAGTTGTGTAAAA